GAATAGAGAACTCTATAAAGAAATATATTTGGTCAATTTTTTCCAAATATCAGATATGATCTGCATGGTATAACTCATTCAAATCTGGCAAAACTTTAGTCCATTCTTTGTATAACATAAGAAATGGGTCAGGTAATATCTTGACTATTGGACCATGGTATGACCACCAATTTAAGAACCAATTAGGAATGGGCTCTGCAAATATCTTTACACATACCTTTATGAACCAAGTATGTTTATGTCTATCATTATTATAATAAAGCACTTTATCAAATGCTTGGATATAATCCCAATATGTGAAATTCATACAAGTCTTGTTAAGGCTTATCTGCCTTTCTTTCATCTTGTAAATTCCCCAATCTTCAAGAGATATAATCTGTTTAATAATAACTTTTGAGAAGTTATAAACATTCTCATCCGTGCTATAACCGGAAAAGTGCTGAAATTCTGCACTACCTGTACTGGTAAGATTGGTCTCATAATAAGAACGGGTTTTGTATGACTCACTCGGATAATATAATCCATTAATTAGATACCTTTGGAATATCTTCAATGGCTCATCTTTTCTCTGTATCTCAGAATTTTCTAAAAGAAATATCATTTCTTTTTTAAGTATTTTTTCATAGGACTTGATATCATCAGTGTCCTCTTTGGCAATTGAAGCAAACGTATCACCTTGCTTTTGAGCAGCTAAGTATGCCTGCAAATGACCGTATAACGGGCTGTCCTCTGGAATATCTTCTAGATGAATAGAAGGAATTGACGAAGATTCGCCTTTGAGAGATATCTTCTCATTAATTAAGGTCTTTTTACCCATTTGTATCACTGGGAAGTTAGATGAGGATCCGTATGATGATCCTTGAGAATATGATTTTCCTGGGGATGATCTTCTTCCTCTGCCTCTGCCTCTACCTCTGGCCCACAGAGGGTCAATGCTGCAAACATAACAATTCATTTTATTCAGATAAATAATCTTCCATATCATGTCTAATTTCTTCAGAATAATCATGAATAGAAAATTCTTCTTCGACAATGTCATGAATAACTTTATCAATTATAAAACTTTGTAAGTCTCTATATAACTTAACCATTTTCAAAATAGTGATTAACGTTTTATAGAAATTCATGATTAATTTAAGTATTCACGGGATAAGAAATCAGGAAGGGAATTATCAATTCCCTTTTTATACTGAATTTCGAAATCAAAATGGGCTAATTGAGCCTGCCACCTTGCAAATATTAATTTCGAATCATGTTTAAAATCTATGTTAAACATATATTTAACAGATTGAGCATCAGTTTTTATTAAAAACTTTTTATTGTAAATCATCCTAAAATTTTAAAACACATTTAACAATAGTTAACATTTCATGAGCCACAGTAGCATATTTTTCTGGGATTCAGTCCACTTTCCAGAATGAAATCTTATCAGATATTCACAATTATCGTTGGGATTAACTTGTTTTAAAATTCTACCATAGCCAATATTAGATGCATCTGTCTCAATAATTTTTTGTCATGCTGGATTAGCAAGAGTTAAACAAGGTAAAGACTTAACACGTTGTTTAATATTTTTAACCAAAGTAGTATGACTATCAGTCCAAGGTTTTTTATGATCTTTTTTTTAGCCTATCATATAATGGGGCTAAATCACGAGACAAATTTTTATAAAATGGGGATATATAATTTAAACTACCCAAAAATCTCTGTAATTGAGTTCTGTGAGTAATAACCTCAGGAAATTTTGAGGCAAAATCAATCGATCTTTGAATAGGAGTAATTTTTCCTTGGCAAATATTATGTCCTAAAAATCTAACATCTGTTTGAAATAAACTCATTTTTGGTTTTGAAATAACTAAACCATTTTGTATAACAATTCTTTTAAAAATATCTAGATGCTTAATATGCATTTCAAATATTTTAGAGAATATCAAAATGTCATCAATATAAACAATGATAAAATCTAGATATGGGTTAAATATATCATTCATGATTTTTTGAAATTCAGAAGGGGTATTCTTTAAACCAAAAGACATAACATTCCATTCATACTGCCCGAATGGAACATTAAAAGTAATTCTATAAGTATGCTCTTTAAATATTTGAATATGCCAATAACCAGATTTTAAATCAAATTTCAAAAATATATTGGCATCATATAATCTTGCTAATAAATCCATTTTATTGGGGATATGATACCTTATCCACTTTAAATATTTATTTAAAGGTTTATAATTAATAACCAATCTAGGAACACCACATTCCTTTTCAGTAGCATTATTAACATAAAAAGCTATGCAAGACCAAGGAGATTTTGATTTTTTTATCAAACCATTTTGTAATAAATTATCAATCTCTTTTTTGCAGAATTCTACCAATTCAGCGTTCATCTAACAAGGTCGAGATTGAGTAGGAATATCATCCTCAGAGAAATTATCTTCATATGGAAGAGTGACAATATGCTTTTTCCGATTCCAAAAAGCAGTAGGATACGCCTTATTCTTTATTAGAAGTTAATAACCGTCTTATAAATAAAGTTGAAATTGAAAGTTTAAAAAGAAAGATTAAATCTCTTAAATAAAATCAAATGATTTGTGATCATAGGATTATTCAGATCGAGAAAATCAATTCTCCAGCTGAAAAATCTAATGATAAAAACAAAGGTATTTCTGAAAATGATATTGAGGGAGAACCTAGTAGACTTGCGATGGGATTTCCCAACTTCACGCTCTTCTTTGGATCTATATCTCGATCTTTTTTTCTTATAAGGGATTGTCAGGGTTAGGATATCTATGATATCTATTTTTCTTTTTCTTGCTATGAGCAGAAGTCTCGGGTAAACCGAACTGGGTGCAAAAGTCTCCTAATTGAGATTTTTCCTTAACCTTATCTATCTTAAGATGTCTAGACAATTTTAACTCTTTACACAAGTTTAATTCTTCTTATGTGCAAACTCCTATCAGTTTTTCATAGGTATAATCCTTATACGAAATTTCACCGTAGCTACCCCTTAGAGTTTTTCTTACTCTTTCAGCAAATAAGGAGGGAAAGCCATCTATAAACTTAGCTTTCCAATGATCATACTTATTTTCGGGTAATTCCATAACTCTACTCATAAAGGTATCCTTATACCATCTGAATTCACTAAGGGTTCTACATCTAAGACCATTCAAAAGGGTACGAACAGTCTCATACTAATTGGTAAATCTACCATTGAAGTGTTCTAGTATGGTAAGGACAAGGGTATAAACAACATCTTCTCTATTTTTTACTAGAGTCATGCCTAAGTTATCAACTCCTTCGTCAGTGGCTATTGCATTAATAACCGAAGCTTTTTCTTCAACAGTTAAATAATTATCCCACCAGCCACGAAATTGGCCAGTAAAACCTGCAATAATCATTTTGCAAATAGTTCTATCTGTATTTTTTTATACTTTTACAGATAGTTGCATACATAAGCATTCTATGCACAAGAATAGTCAATTGTCTATCAGTCAAACCATCAAGATTCCATTCATAAATTTCGAAATCACTGTAAGACGTATTAGTCTGATTCCAATCACGTTCCTTTATTAAAATATCTTGTGGAGTAGGACGGGAATAATAATAAGTTTGCATTATGGGTTTATCAGCATACTTATTATTTGGTCAAAACAGCTCTCTCTATAGATATAGATCCAAAGAAGAGGATTACTCAGATAGAGAAAAATAATTCCCTAACTGAGTTATCTAATGATAAAAACAAAGGTATTTCTGAAAATAGTATTAAGGAAGAATCTATTAGACTTGATTCTAAACATGATATATTTTTGGGAATGATGCAAATTGTTACTGCCCATAAATGGTATATTAAATGTACTATTCTAATTGATAATAGTTTTTCTATTACAAATATTGCTATGATTGATAGTGGAGCTAGATTAAAATAAAGAAAAAAGTCATTATATTAAAAAAATAAAAAAAGATAAAAGTTGTAGAGGGTCAGATAAGAACTTTAAAAGGTCAACCTTGACATGAGGAGGTGAATGATAATTGGAGGATGAGTTTAATTTTTAACTAAAACTTGGGGTTAGAAATAATTTATACCTAATATTAATTATGATAGGCTTTAATATATAAGTTTTTTGCGAAACAAAATTATGGAGTAACTCAGTCTATAATTGAATATTTTTTACCCTCTTCGACGAGTTCATTAATTTATTTTTTGCTTATGTCTTGTGTTGGTATAGTCAAACCTCTTTGTAACAACATCGTTTGTTCCGATATTTTTAGTTTTTTTTTATTTTTTTTAATATTATATATAAAAAATAAAAAATTATTCAAATTTAAAACCTCAAACATATGCATATTTCACAAATTAAATATTAAATAAAGCTAATACATTATTAAAATTTCATAACAAAATGTACAAATACTTAGACTCTAAGGTATGCATTTCAGAGCTACTAGAGAATTAAATTCCTTCAAGAGTGATGAAAGAATTCTTGAAAAGATATGTGCAAATCTTCGAATTTTAAGCATTATACAAGACGAAAACTTTGTCTAACAGAAAAGATTGTAAGTGCAAATCTTCAAATATTAGGCATTGTGCGTGATAGAAAATTTAGTGCAATGAAATAAAAATATACAAGCATATCTTTTAATCGAATTAAATGAAAACTTTAATTATGGAAGTGTGTACTAACACAATATTTTATTAATAAGTGGTGCATTAAAGTTGTTAAAAGATATGATCAAATTAAAAAAATTAGGCTTATTATTTATAAAGAAGTTTGTTGCTATTATAAGTAAAAATCTCTTAGGGAAAGGTAAAATATAATATAAAAAATAGATTTTATAGTAAATACCTACTATATATAGGGAGCAGTGTATTTATATTGGGAATTGGACTAAATTCCAATTCGTGTGAATAAAAGTCTCACATTTTAGGCAAAGGGGTCCCTAATAAGATTGACTCCTGTCCGAGTGGTATTATTATTGAGCTAAAATCTGTGGATTGTATGCAGCAAACGCATCAAAGCGCGGCCTCACGCGCGTCTCGGAGGCAATAGATGTTCAAGTGAAATTGATCTTGTTTTTATAAAGGTCTCGGCGTGTAGTATTACACTGCACAAATGGCTTCCACTTGTCTTCAACCTTTGTACTATCCTACAATAATACACTCAAAATCTCCATTGCTTAGTCTATCGAAGAAGCAAATTTTCACTGCTAGGAGCCTAAATCAATGTACAAGAAGAAATTGCTCATTCATGGCAAGGAACAATGAAAGAAAACTGCCATTACTGCCTATTGGTAGGCTCAGACTGAAGGTAAAATGCAGACAAACTGAATTCTTTTAATTTCGATTTTTTTTACTCCTATTTCCCCCTTTTTTGTTGGTCTTTTTTTGTTTCTCTTCCTTAGCTTTTTTTTTTTCCTCATAGGTTTCGGCATCTTCAGGAGAAGAAGCTGAGTCGGCTTATCTAGAGGAATTCAGTTGGTCTTCTGTCATTTTGCCGTAAGTCTCCCCATTTTTCTTTCAATCTGTTATTTTGCCGTAAGCTACATAGTCTACTGATGAGTTGGATTTTATACATATAAAATTCAAGTACTTTAATTTAAGATTCTCGAGTTATGAGACATTTGATAAAACATTTTTCTTTCTGAGGTTATCATATTTTAAAGAAGAGGAAAAGAAGAACTCATATGACCTTATATGCAATCCAGAAGATCCTATATTGTTATCCTGGGTTAATAACTCAATTCGCTGAAGTAAAGTAAAGAGAATGTAAGTAATTAAATAAAGTGACCGAGATCACAGGTCCTTAACTCTCTCATATACCATATTTCTTCATTGTTTTTACTAAATTATTAGCTTAATTCTCGAATTGTTCGGTAAATTAACTCAAAAATTGATAGTCTAAGAAAATTGAAACTCTTTACTTATGGTGATTAGAAATTTATTACTCCCGTGTGACGATACTCTTACTTGATTGTGATGCGTAACTGCCTCTACTCTCTTTATTAGTATGTGATATTAAGCAGCAAGTTTTTGCCATCCATACTCTCTAGATATACGTTTTCTATCTAAATTCTTTTGCCATCTTGCTCTTTGTGATCTCAGTGAACTATTCAGTGATAAAAGTCAATAAATAATGTCATGTGATTTTTAATGTTCAAATAACTATGTTGACTCTTTTGCCCAAAATATATTCCATGGTTTTCCTTTTCAGATTGTATGGTTTTCGCCGTGCAAAAATAATAACTCATTGTGTCAAATATCAGATTTCTCTTTCCCGCCCTAGGCGGTTTATTATTTGGCTATGATATAGGTGCAACCTCAGGTGCTACCATCTCATTGCAGGTATTTATCAGTTTCTTTGCTGTATCCCACATCATCTGTGCTTTACTATTCATGTACTATCTATTAAGGATTTACATTGAAAAAGTTCATTTATTGATGTATCAGTCAGCTGAGCTTAGTGGAACGACTTGGTACAACTTCTCTGCTGTTCAGCTTGGTCTTGTGGTATGCTTTCTATGTTGCAGATTCCATGTGTTATTATTTCTCTTACATACCAAATTTCTAAATATCAGTTCTTCTTCTTTCCCCTGGATATAGGTCAGTGGTTCCCTTTATGGAGCTCTTATTGGCTCCATACTTGCCTACCCATTCGCTGATTTCTTAGGTGGAGTTCACTTACTTTAAGTTTTGTTGAGTCTCAAACTTATTCAGAAATAATTTTGGTTAAGTTTCTTGGGTTAACTTCTGTAGGGAGGAGGAGGGAACTGATCATAGCAGCCCTTTTATATGCGGTTGGTGGTTCACTAACTGCCTATGCTCCAGGACTAGGGGCACTTTTGTTGGGCCGGCTTGTTTATGGGCTTGGAATTGGTTTGGTAGGTTTTGTTTGCTTTTTACTCATCCCAGTTCCACTGTTTGTGCTTGCTATTCTGGCTATTTCTCTGTCATAGCTTAATCATTGGATGAGTAAGTACCTGAAATTTTTCATTTGATTGTTCTCATTTCAACAGGCAATGCATGGAGCACCTCTATATATAGCAGAGACTTGTCCGTCCCAAATCAGAGGAACATTAATCTCTTTAAAGGAGCTGGCAATAGTACTGGGTATTTTGGTATGTTTACCTATATCTCTTAAATTCTCATATCATCTTAATTTGGCAAGAGAAATGGATCAAATTGAATGATGGAATCTCCAGCTGGGTTATTTTGTAGGTAGCTATGAAATTAATGTCGTAGGAGGGTGGCGTTACATGTTTGGATTAAGTGCTCCAATTGCTTTACTTATGGGGTTGGGCATGTGGAGTCTCCCTCCCTCTCCCAGATGGTTACTTCTGAGGGCAATTCAAAGTAAAGGGCCACTGCAGGAATACAAAGAGAAGGCTATTGGTGCATTGAGCAAACTAAGAGGCCGCCCTGCTGGTGACAAAGTATCTGAAAAGCAAATAGAAGATACAATTATCTCATTGAAAACTGCCTACTCAGATGAAGAAGCTGAAGGAAATTTTCTGGAGGTATTTCAGGGGCCAAGCTTGAAAGCATTTATAATTGGCGGAGGTTTGGTCCTTTTTCAACAGGTAATATAATTTGAGATGGATCTACTTCTTTTGCATGTGATACTTTGCAATTTCTGTGAAGAGCTATCAGCTGATGTTAAGGTAGTTTCTTGCTTTCAAGCTTATGTGGTAGTTTTGACAGATAACTGGGCAGCCAAGCGTTCTATATTATGCTGGTTCAATTCTTCAGGTACCCTGCTAATTCTACTCCTTAATTTTTCTCCTCATTAGTAATTTGATCTTGCAAAAGGTAATTTTGAAACAATTTCTTATCAGAGTGCTGGTTTTTCTGCGGCTGCGGATGCTGCTCGAGTTTCAGTCGTTATTGGTGTATTTAAGGTAAGTGAAGTAGCTGTAGCCAGGAGAAGCCTGTTATCTCTCTCGGTCATGAATATTAACCCGACTCTTTTACTCGAAGGACTAATATTCTGTTGGACTAGAATGTTAATTTCCCTCTGATTCTATGCTCTTTGTTTGCGTCGACTAAAATTATTCTCCAACAGTCACTAATGACGGCAGTCGCTGTCCTAAAAGCTGATGACCTTGGGAGAAGGCCATTGTTAATTGGAGGAGTCAGTGGAATTGTAAGCATCTAATCATATGATTGTACTTTAGATTCTTATCATTTTTCATCTAGGGTATTATTCTGCTTGCTGGTATGGTTTCTGAAAGAAAGTATTGCTATTTGTGTGGTGTAATCTACAGGCCCTATCGCTGTTTCTTCTTTCAGCTTATTATAAATTTCTTGGGAGTTTTCCTTTTGTTGCTGTTGCTGCTCTGCTTCTCTATGTGGGATGCTACCAGGTGATGTTCTTGTATATTCATGCTTGCAGGAACAACTCTATCTATCTATCTATCTCTCTCTCTCTCTCTCTCTATATATATATATATATATATATTTATATATATATATATATATATATATATATATATATATATTAATATAAAAGCATGAATATTATAACGCTAAACATTGAACGACTAAAATTTCCCCAAAATATTGAACGACTTTTATGCCATTTGAAAGTGAATTAAGTTACATTCTCTGTTGGATAAAATTGTAATCTCCATTAATATTTTAATACTAGATGAACTGATATTTAAGATTTTCAAGTTGGCTAAGAATTCATCACTTTCAGTCTCCTACCAAAACTGTCTTTGAGTTTCAATAATAAATACTTAACCTACTTTGGAAAAACTATTATCATTAAGTTTTTAGTCTTACTTCAACCAAGTTACTTAAGTGATAGTGGAAATGACTCATGTACCTTTTAGAATTTAAGGTGACGTAGTGCACTAATTCTATTTGACTTGCAATTGGAAAATTTTTGGCAATGACCAAGTGATCCTTTATGTAGGACTTGCATAATTCTTGCTTGCTTAGATTTGTAATGACATTGTAACTCTTCCATCTTGGGAGTTTGAATCAACTCTGGGGACAACCTATTGTAACTTGATTCCAAGTCAAAACATCAGGTGCCCCAATGATTCTATAAAAGGACTCTTTCCGCGGATTACAAGCCTATAAATTCCAGTGTCTAATTTTTTTTTAATTGATAATGATAATTAACCATAACAGATCAACAAATCTTAGGAGGGAAACTTCATATTCTTTTTAATTATGCAGTCATGTTCTTATAGCGTCAGCAGGTTAGAAGAAGTTTGTCGATGATTTTACTGGCAACGCAGAGTTCGAAACTTTTAGCTTTGTTGTTCCATATCTGTTTTATGTGTTATAATTAAACATTATTTGAAAACAAAATAAATATTATTGCCTCTATTTCTCCTCTCTTCCTATTTTTGGTTGTTGTTGTTGCTTATTTGCTTTATGTGCTTCAAGATTAATTGTTCAAAATAAATTTCAGAAGAAATCTGACTAAGAAGTACTTTCACATGTCCCATCGAGATTTATATTTGGAATGTTCTAGTTCCACCTTTTGTTCGTGCAATTTTATTATTTATCATGCCGGTCTTTTACTTTCTTTTTTTTCATAGTATTTGTCGCAAGACATTTGTGCAAAGCACGAACATAGAGGCTAGTAATTTTAATATATATATTTGGTTTCGCTAACCTACTACATGTACAAATACATAGTTTACTTCCTGAGTTTGACGCCAAATCCCTTTGACACACTTCTAAAAGACGGGCAGTTCTTTACTCACCCAATCTTTCTAAAGTGTGTCTAAGACGCACCACTTTTTAGTTTTGTCAGATGGCACGCGCGTGTTTAACCAAAAAAGATTGAGCGCATGAAACATGTAAATATTTTGTTTAAATCCTTATTTAAGTGTCTAGTGTCAAAATTTTATTTTATTTCCTTATTTTTCTTTTTTTAATACAAAAGAAGAAAAAAAAGAAATTGCACCAGATCTCCCTTCGTCCTCGCCCCCACCGTCCTTTGCCTGGACTCGTGCCCCACCATCGCATAATCACAACCCACCTTCGGCCAGCTACCACAGCTCAACTTCTTCACTTTCTTAAATCATGAAAACTCTAGTACCACCAGTTTCTACTATCTTTTTCCATCAACAATTTCCTTTTCTCCATTAAAAAACCACCTTCAATCCTTCACAACAACGGGTAGCTTCAACCGAGATACCTTCACACGGCCCACAAGTTCCTCCTTCACTACTATCGTCTTTCACCATCTTTCAACATCCACTCATAAACTCAAAAATCTTTCAAGAATACCATAAACCCAGTAAAGGTTCGGACTCCTTTCCGTTATTCTTGATTGAGTTCGAAGAGGTCAGAGGGGCATACTTTATGGTGCCGTTCGAGTTGTTCCAGTCTCGATTCGTGTCGCTGCTTCGCTATTCCTGACAAATACTGCTTGTAGCTTTGATATCCCGATTGGAGGCTTCTTTTTATTCAATACTGATTCCCTGAAACTAGTTTCAATTTAAGGTCCATAATTCCCTTTAATTTCTCTTTTAACAATTAGAATATAGTGATTATCTGTGAAATGTTTCTGATTTCTCCACGGTGGGATTGCATTAATATCAATGCTCATTGGTGAGTTGTTTGTGATTTTCTCGCTGTTGAATTCCATTGACTGAGTTATGGAAGAATATTTATCATGAGATTAAGAGGTGGTGGCTTCAGTGGTGATTTTTGGTGGTTGAAAATGGAGGGCTTGTTGGGATTTAAAGGAAATTTCCGGGACTGGTTTGGGAAGATGGAGTATTTATAAGTGTTTTTTCTTTTTTCTTTAAAAATTAATGGCAAACACCAAATGGATTTGCCCGTGACATACACTTGTTGAGAAAAAGTGGTCAAACACCAAAGTGATGTGCCTTAGACACACTTTGATAAGGTTGGATGTGTAAAGGATTGCCCGTGTTGGAAAGGACTGTCAAATGGATTTGGCCTCACACTCAGGGGGTAAACTATGTATTTTACCCTTAATTTATACTCCCTCCGTCCCAATTTATGTGACACTCATTCCTTTTTAGTCAGTCACCAAAAGAATGACACCTTTCTATATTTAGTAAAAGTTCAACTTTAAACTTCCTTATTTCCCTTGATGAGATAATTTATAGGGACACAAATTTCTATGGCTTATTTTAGACCACAAGTTTCAAAAATCTTTCATTCATTCTTAAACTTCATGTTAAACACCATCATATAAATTGGGATGGAGGGAGTATTATTTTTCTATATATGTATGTATAAATCAGGTGATATTCGCATATATACTAGACAAATATAGTTGTTTACATTGTATCCATCTTTTATTCATCCAATTTACTCCTAACATCACAATGCCGACACACTAATAAGGGGGTCTTTTCGTTCTGTCAACAAAAACTTGTACTTGATTCTAATTCTACGCTATTCATTTGGTTTCCCTTTTCGCCCTTCCCCTGCTTTCCTTCTCTCAATGTGCCCATGGATTTTTCGGAGGTGCAACTGCAGAAGATCTCTTTGCAGTTTGTCATGATAGCCAAATCTTTTCTAAAAAGTTTAGTCGTTTGCTGGTATAGAACATAGATCACTATCCTTTTGGAAGACCTCATCTGAGACAACAATGGAGAAAAGAGTCCATAATGACAATTTTTCACTTCGTTGGATGTTCTACTGGTTATAAGTAGAGTATGAGTTCAAGTACAATGGCAATCTTACGCTAAGGTGATTTTTGTGAAGAAGGAATTGGAGAAAACTGAGAGAATGGTTTAATTCTTCTTTACATGATTATCACTAGTCCTGACTGTTTCCTTCGTGGCTCTGAGGGAGCCGTGACTGGTGCTCTTGGAGAAGATTGTGAAGAAAGGAAGGGTGTGGGTGTGGGGGATGGACTGGTATAGTATTTTGAATGAAAAGACAGAAATGTCCATACTGTGTATGAGATGTTAAGGATATTTGGGGTAAATAAAAGGTGAGTATAATGATAATCTACTAGTCATGTCTATATATACATATTGGCTAACCTACTAAATAATCAAAAGAATTAGATTTCATTACTAACTTATATACTAGGGTATTGACCTTGATCTACTAATCTTCCTAGTAATTTCAGAGAACTTGTTTCCCCTCTCTGCTTTTTAATATGGAATACTTAATTGTTTATACCCCAAATCCATAATTTTTTCAGCATATCACCTAATGGGCAGTGCTGATTTCTTAGTAGGTTGACATACTCTATCTAGTATGTTTTGCGAGTTATTAATCTCTTAAAATTAAGAAAAAGCTTTTCCGAATTACATCTCTTTTCCTTCTCCAAAATTAATTTATTCTTATACCTAATCAATCAAACTAAACCTCAATCCTAACTGGGTTCGGGCGTATCAATCCTCTGCATCCAATCCGTTATATTGAAACACGTTTCATCCTAATACTACTCATATTCCTAATAACTTTTTCTTTTTCTGGAAGTAGATTCCTTTAGGTATTAGTAAGAGAAATATGTATAAGCTAGCATATTCCAGTTGCATTCCTAGAAGATCTTCTATTACATAATATGCATTTATTGATAGTCAATTACTATGATAAATGGATGTCTTTATTTTTAAAACCCCATTCAAAATCAGAGCATGAAATTCAATTTGAAATAATCCGAGTGATATGTTAATTTATGATTTTATTTACCGAAGATTTTGATCATTAGAGATCAAATGGTACATTGTTAATATGGGAATTCTACAGAATCTACACTGAAGCAGTTATATCTTTTAAACTTGACATGTGTTTGTGTCTTATGCAGTGAGTGATTGTGGAGCTTCAGTTACGTTGCATCTTTTTGGTTCTTTTTTGTTGCGTGAACTGCGAGGGACTTTATTCTCTTCTATATTCGTTAGATAACCATATAAGATTGTGTTAGCGTTTTAGCTATGATGATTATAGGTACCAGTGAGGAAAGGTAATAGCTAAAATCGTTTTCATATTTGTAACAACAAAGCATTACATCACCTTGAAACAATTTATGTGTCAGGAACTTTTCTATGTCACTGTGATGAATGAACTCACTGAAATATGTTTGTTCTATGGCATTGAAGATATCTTTTGGGCCTATTAGCTGGCTTATGGTATCAGAAATATTCCCACTCCGCACCAGAGGGAAGGGTATAAGTCTAGCTGTTCTCACGAATTTTGGTTCTAATGCAATCGTAACCTTTGCTTTCTCACCTCTGAAGGTAAGAATTGTTCTCCTGCAAATATTAATTCCAGAATAACATGTGTTGGATGATTATGGTTTCCACTTCTGTAGGAGTTTCTTGGGGCAGAAAATCTTTTCCTTCTGTTTGGAGCAATTGCTTTGTTGTCACTTCTGTTTGTGATCACCTCGGTTCCAGAGACTAAAGGCTTGAGCTTGGAAGAAATTGAGTCCAAAATCTTGAAATGAAAACATAGTTTTGTATCCTGGAGCATACAAATAGAATATTACCTGTTCGTTAATATTGTATCAATTCTATCAGAATACATACTTTATGGCTGTTCTATAAATGATAAACTGGGATGATTTCTATGGTGGTGGTATTGGCTTGGCTGGCTAGATCAGCCAGAGAAACTTTTAGAGTTCTTGGCATTGAACTCATAATACTATTAAATTGTAGGTTCAATTTAATTTGTTGAAATTTTAATGGGTTTTCACAGATATATCTATGCTTTGTGTAGACAATATTGGGTTATCAGCAGCTTATGATTATCATGCATTTCCTCCATTTGATACAATCAATACCTGTTGATCACGCCCAACTATGCCTTACAAAAAGGACTAAGCGGTCGTTACAAATATAATCTGGTTTACGAGTCCGGAGTTGAATCCCACAGAGAACTAAGGCTCAGCTACAGTTGTTCAATATCGCTAAGAAACACAAGTCCAAACAATTCCTAATTATAAAGATTATAATGTTTATTTTTATCTAATTAACTAACAAATACTAGAAAGCAGTAAAACTACCAATTAACAAGGATGAAATTTTAGACAAGACTAAGGAGGTCTAGAGTTATGATTTCCCCAATTGTCAGAATCCTTCCCGCTATGCCTTCTATAATTTCACCTAAGTTTTCTCTACCGATCATGAGCGCTCTGAGTGTCGTAACTCTCTTCCGAGTAAATATTCTCCCGAATTACGCTAACTGGCATTAAGTACGGCTCACTCGGATTGCACCAAGGTTTCGTTATCCCTAATCCCATCTTTAAACCTTTCGTATTGATCCCTCATATACGTTAGGAGTGATGTTATTCAACAACTACCTAAATATGCACTCTCTTCCGAGTAATACACACTAAATAGGCACAATCGATTGAGAGCTCTTCAACCAACCACAATAATAACGTAGTTAAACAAGTAGAGAAATTCAACGACTCAATAATATAAAAACATAACAAGAATTTATCCTACAAAAGGTTCTATCAAAACTTTAGATAACAAATTAACTATTCATAATAGTATACAAAACTACAATAATAGAATTCATAACCAATAATGGAAATAGGAAGAAGGAAGTGAAAAACTCGTAGAAGAATTCTCCGCCTTGCTCCTAGTGTGTTCTTGCCTCCTTAGGTCAAAATTTGGTCTAATGTCGGCCCCCCTCCCAAATTGGTGTTTAATGACTATTTATATGTGTAGGAAAAAGGCCTAGACGAAAAAATCAAGTCCAAAACCAAAAAAGGAAACAAAATAGGTCTCAAACCCGGAACATGCATCGCCTCGCGTTAACCCTGGCGGCGCGCGAGCTCTAACGCGAGCAAACTCCCTCGCGTCGCCAGGCTCTTTGCTGCTTTGTTTCTGAAATTGATTTTGCTGCCTAACTTCGCATTCTCTTTCTCAATTTTTTCTTCATTTCACATTAATTTGCTTGTTTCTTTTTGTCTTCTTTTAATTTGTTTTGTCTTCTTTTCATTTTGTCTTCAATCATTATTTCATTATCTAATTATAATATTTCTCATCACCAAATAATCACGAGCCATTCTTGTAGTGCGTAAAATACACATAAAATCTCTACTTTGCTCCCAATTTCGTCTTCAACGTACCTACACATAAAATAGACTCAATTAAGCACAAATATAGTATAGTTTAATATTAAAGCACATAAATGTAAGGTAAGTAATGCACTAAGAATATATAATTCTAGCCACACATCACCTGTACATTCCAAGTTTATAGTAGAATTACACAAACATCTGGCACTAGTCAAAGGGAAGACCAAATGACATATTTAGCTCATAGAAAATACTTGCCCCGCACATGGTGTTTACACTATTTTATGCAATTTCACCTTAAGAGGTGAACATTGAAGTGATAATATATACACCTAAACTTGGTTAACTGAGAAATGTGCGTCTATAAGACAAATGGGTTGGTTCATTGGTTGGTGTAAACATTGAGGCGGGATAATTTTTTTTCTTAATATCAGTGTTATACCTAGAGTCAAACAAATAATAGTTCAGTTTACTATCTACTCTGGCAAAAATTGTTTTCACTAATTTAATAGGATATAAGTATTGTTTTAGCTAGCTCCTTGTGAGGCAAATGAGAAGAACTCTGTCATTTCATTTTCTTTAAATGATTGAAATATCCAATCAAAATAGTTGCAGATTTGTATCATGTTCAGAATTCCCAATTTATTGTGAAAACCATCTGATCAAATTCTACACAAGAATCCTATATTCCTAGACTAAAAGAACTCAAACAACAGTAGTAATAATTACGCCTAAATCCAAAACAAGTTTTATGTTGGTTGTCAACTTACCGCAACCCTCCTGTTTTATCCGGGCTAGAGACCGGCAATTTAAGCAAGCTCGCACCTAAAAGAACTCTAAGTCAAGATAATTACCCCCAGAATTCACATCTGGTCCTGGCATTCTTTTATTGCAAACTCCAACAAGGTTCACTTCTTGATCAAAAACTCCAACAGGGTTCACTTGCTTAAACTTCCCTGGAAGCTCTGCTTCAACTTGTCTTGGCACTTCAGGTGGCGTACTGCAACGAATCAGGGCCCAATTAACACCTTCAAAGAAAGGGTGCTGCTTAATCTCACTTGCTCCTCTTTTCACCCCAAGCCGGCGTTGAGGCTCTTTGACGAGCAAGCCACGTATCAGATCGCGGCTGGCATTACTGGTTGCAGGAGAATCTGGAAATTTGAGCTGTTGTCCAACTACATTGAAAAGAGTTGCCCTGTTACCTGATCCCTTAAATGGGGTTTTACCATATAGTAATTCATGCAGAAAAATGCCAAATGTCCACCAATCAACTGCACTGCCATGGCCTTCTCCCTTGATAATTTCAGGGGCTAAATATTCATGAGTCCCAACAAATGACATTGACCGTGCTGCAGTAGGTTCTGCAACAAGCTCAGGCATGGCATTAGAAGGAAAACCTGGCTCGGTTCTGGGCTTTTGTGAACTTTTCTTGCTTTTTGGAGGAAATAATCGGGGGAGGAAACATGTCGGCTGCATGCATGAAGAAGTGGGCTCAATACAGGCTGGCTGCACACAGATTGCAGCTCCTCGTTTAGAGGGATCACCAAATGAGGCCCTTATGACCGTCGGTGAAACTGCACATTTTAGGGATAGGTCAAAATCCGAAAGCATGATGTGGCCATCGTCACGCACCAGAATATTTTCAGGCTTTAGGTCTCTGTAAACTACACCAAGCATGTGAAGATATTCGAGGGCCAATAGAACTTCCGCAGCATAANGGATCAAGCTTTACATCCTATCCATACAACAACAGTAGCTATGTATCTATCGGAAACTAGTTAGAGTCGACTATTCGATTCCTCAATATTCATTTTACTCCATTTGGAGCCATTCCATTCCAATACTCACTAATTAGGAGTTTTCTAACAGCAGAGGTTCTCTACATTTTGACTGACATAAATTCTGACCAAACTAAAAAGCTCCAGGCAAACCTCAGCGAAATATAAGTGTACCAACATCCCAACTAGTTCGTGACATTTAGACCATATATCAATTTGTGTGTGTCATTCGTGCGTAGGGGGCATGCCAATCTTCATTTATTCGTTATCCTGCCCATATAATACGTAATTAATTATCCTCCTGCTCTGCTCAGTAACCAGTGACAGGGAAAAGGAAAATGAAAATCAACTATATGTTCCTACCAGGATCAAAACAATATGGTGCCATAAATTGCAAATATGGAGCTAGTGGAAGAATTTGTTCAATTTCAAAATCCTAAGATAATAAACATCTAACTTAGTCCAAGTTGGCGTTCGCATGAGAGAACCTTAGCCTGAGTTCATTTTCCATGGAAGGAAGAAGAAAGGGTTGAATCAAATGTGGCATTCTATGTCAGCATATATGAGATATTATTTAGTGAGGCTACAGTTTTTATTAACAAGAAACTAAGCTGTAAAATGCTCACGAGTCACAGCAGTGTATGAGTAACAGAAGCATGTCAACTGGTCAAACACCAGTACTAAATTAACATAACAATTTAGTACCCATATTGCTGAACAATTTTTTCGTATTTGGTACTATTTCTGTATTGTTACCAAAATTAACATCTGAATGAAAACTAAGAACCAGAAGACACAGGGAAGAGGACTTATTAAGAGATCAAGACGGCGTGAACTGTGAACAAACAGGGTCTTTTAGAAGCATGAAACCACCAGTTCATAAAATCTCTATTTTCTCTAAATGAGTACATAGTTTAAAGATCTTAATATTACGAGCATTCACCAAATGACACTGAACCAGTACTAGCACCCTAAACAATTAGAGAAGCAAAATGTCAAGAAAGTCCTTTTCCAATAAAGCACGCATACTTCCAAACTTAAGGAGTTTAATTAGAGAAAGAGAGTGAAGAAATTAACCAGTAAGATGAATAACTAATTGCAGAGCGCTAACATTTACCAAGCTCTGATTCAAGAGAAATGGATTTTATACCATACAAGAACTGTACCTTGCAGCATATTCTGAAAAATGCTTCCCAGGTTGTCGTTGTCGTAGAGTATGTAGATCTCCTCCAGGGCAATATTCCATGACCAAACATGAAAATCGGTCTGTCTCAAAATGAGTATACAAGGTTGGTAAGAATGGGTGGTCTAACAGCTGGAGGATTTCTCTTTCTGTATGAGAACGGGTCAATTTCTTCCTACTTTCAAGCGATGCCTTATCCATCACTTTCATCGCAAAATAGCACCAAGTCCCACTGAGTTCAGAAAGATAAACAGTGCCAATGTCACCACAACCAAGTCTTTTCAGTAACCTAAAGTGACTCATGCCTAATATACCATCACGTGCTCGTATTGCAAGAACAGCCTTGCATCTTGGATCATTTCCTTTGTGAGGCTTATTGGCACTGCCGGTAATGTTACTCCAGTTACTATCATCACTAAGTTCACTGCTATCACTTGCTCTGCTAAAGCTAGTTTTAGCACTTCCTAACGAATCCCCTTGAATACTCAGTTTTGTACCCTCACAGTTCCTGTCCATACTAACCACGCCGTCACTCCTATATGTGCCTGTGCAGCTGTTGGCAATGCTCATAACTGTGCCAACACCAGTACTATCAATGCTACTATATGGACTGACATTGCTGCTCGAGGGTAGTGATGCATCCCAAACACATTCTTTTTCTTCAGAATCAGGTGGTAGACTTGCTTCTGTGTTTTGAGATGAACGAGGA